CTGTAGATGCATTTGCAACGGAATCCATCGCTTTGGCCTCAACGCGGAAAGCACACATTCCAGCTTCCCGAAGATGGAACCGAGCTTGTGGGCTCGGTCGATTGCATCCACTTTCGAGGTCACCTCCGTCGACCACACCTTCGGGTCGAAGCAGTCGGTAATCTCGTTCGCATCATCTCGTCGAAATGTCAAAGGCGCCTCGTCGATGTCGCCCGTCTTCGTAACGCCGTCCGCTCCGTGCAGTTCCAAATATTTGCGCACTTGAGCCAAAGTCTCGAAGAAATTTGGATTCTCGATCGACGGCTCTCCATACTCGTCGAGCTTTTGTCCAATTTTGCGGTGAGCGTATCGCCTGCTCGGGCCGCGCGGCCGGTGGTACACGAGAAAGCCCGGCTTCGGACCTCGCGTCACGAACCAACCGAGGGCTTCCAAGGTAGGCAGGAGTTCCGCTGTTGGCAACGCATGCAACCGCGTCATTTTGGACAAGTCGAGACACCGCCTCCGAGGCGCGGCCTCGGGCCCAGCTCTAGCGCTTTCAAAGATGCTCGGGAGCTCGTCGTCCGCGAGTTCTCGGTCGTACTCGGTCATAATGTTCACGAGCGTGTCATCTAGTCGTCGCTCGAGGAACAGCTCCTTGTAACCCGTGCGGCCCGGAATTTCCAGCAATTCCCCGGCTGCGTGAACCGCAGCGATGCGCAGCTCAGGATTGCGGGACGCGCTCGCCCTCGCGTCGTCCAACGGGCGCTCGATCTTGCCTTCAAGGAGATCGCAAACGAGCTCGGCAACACGAGGCTTGTGATCCAAAGAGGCCGTCGCAGCCGACAAGCGAGGAAGACAAATGAGCGCGTAGCGTGCGATCTCCGTACCAAAGGGCGTCAATGCGTATTCACGAGCCGTGTCGGAGATGACGTCGACGAGCTTCGGAACGGGGCTGTCTTGCTTCCCCCGGACGGCGACTGATAAAAACTGGAGTATGACATGTAGCAGTAAGAGTGCCTCAAGAACTAAGTCCGCGCTGAGATGGATTTCAGTACCCAGAACCGAGAATATCCAGTCGACGATTGACATGGACGCACGAACATTTTTTTCCAACCGTTGCTTTGAACTGACGTTGGTCCGTATCCAGACCATGGTGTTTCGGAATACTCTCAAGAGCGGAGGCAGGCAATCCAGGATATCTAACCCGTGCTCTTGCAAGCGTGTTGCAAAATGAAGCAGCGGATCACGTTCGGTGCATTGAAGGAGACCGTCAAAAATCATTTTCGTACACTGGTCTGCAGTCTCGTCCAACCGAGGCTCCTGTAATATGACTTCGACGTCGCTATCGTCCGAGTCGCTGCAGCACGTGAATCCAATGCTGTCGGTCCCTCGGCTTTGCTTCCGACGCTCGACTGAGAGGCGGCGCGACGTCAGATTGGCAAGGGCATGCATGCAATGGTGGAGAATAGTTCGCGCATTATTTAATTTGGACTCATCTGCTTGAAACTTCCCGATCCCATCAAAAGCGAGGTCCGCGACTCGCACGAGCGTGCGACAGAGGTCGCGAAGGCTTTCAGCCGAGGCGACGTACCAGGGAGCGACGGGCTCCGTTTTGAGGCGAGCGGCATTTACGCCGTAGCCGATGATTCGTTGATAGTCCTCGTTCATTGGAACTCCGCCTGACTCCATGAGATTCGCGAGCACGCCCAACGGACCGTCGAAGAATTTGTCATCGGAGTACACGGGCCGCGCGAGCAGATCGGCCGCCTGGCAGTCCTTGCACCGCGCGCCCTGCTTGCGCTTGATCTCGCGGTTCGAGAACTTTTCAGGTAGCATGATGCGGCCGCACGCGCGACAGTCGAGCGTGCTGGTGTCGGGAGCTCGCACGCCGAAGAGGATTTGTCGCTCGGCTCGGTGGACGGATCGTTCCGTAAAGCCAAAGCTCTCCAAGGACACGATGCCGTCGGCCGCTGACTGTAGCAGGTGCTCCCGTGGCGGCGCGAGCCCTGCGATAAATTCCCGAGCCTCCCGAGCCTCCTCAGCAGCCACGAGCTCATCGCAGTACTTCTTCACCTCTGCCCTGAACCACGCCTTGTTCGCCTTCCCCGCGAGTTGCACGCCGAGATCGTCCTCGACCTGCTTCCCGAGCTTGCGCATTGTCGCTTCGGCGAGATTCACCGTCGGCAAAACCTCCGCGAGCCACGAGCTCACGCGCGACCGCAGCGCCAGCGTCGCCGCCTCCGACGTCGCCTCCTCCGACGTCGCCTCCTCTGACGTCGCCGGGCTCACCGCCACGCCGAGGCTCTCGCGCTTGAGGTCCTTGAGGCTCATGGTCTCGATCTCGTCCGCCAGCGCGGCCGCGGCCGCCTCGACGCGCGTCGACGGGCTCTCGCTCTGCTCCTCGGGTTGCGGCGGCGACGACGACGTCGCGCCGGCTTCGGCGTCGGCGCGGTCGCCGCGCTCGTCGTCGGCCTTGGCCGCAGGCATGGCCGCCTCCTCAGCGGCGCGGTCGGCGGCTTTCGCCGCGAGTAAGTCGTCGTAGCTAGCCTTTGCCGCGGCGAAGTCGTCCGCACTAATAAAGTGACCCGTGACCTGTAAGCCCGCGAGATCCTCGTCCTCGCCGCTAGAGAGAAAGTTCTTCGCGTCTCGGGCGTCCGCTCGCGTCGCAAAGTGCACGTGGACCTCGCCGGGCCTCGCATCTTCCCAGAGCCAGTCAAACTCGACGACCTCGTAGCGCTCGTCGAGCGCCGCTT